GAGGGATCCCTCCTCAGTTGCTCTTCCTGAGGTTTCTACCGTTTTTTTTTTCCCCGTTAAAGGGGTTTTTTTGGGTAGTTTTTCCTTATCCGCTGTGAGGGTGATTGTGATTGTGATTGTGATTTGTGATATTGGGCTTTATAAATAAAATTGATTGATTGATTGATTGATTGATTGATTTTATTTAACGTTACATCATTAATTGTGATGGTTAGTTACCGTATTTCCTCAATAAATAGCAGGTCTCATATAATGACTGGATCAAAACATCAAGAAAAAACAAGCAAAGAAAAGAAAAAGAAAACTGGGCAAGGATATGATCAGAAAGTCTTTCAATGTTTGTGGGCTGTCTGAGAAGACTGATGGAAATGAAGACGACCGCCATCCTCTGCTTCAGAGAGACAGCCTGCACCCCAGACTGCAGGTCTCTGCTCCATATCGCGGCAAACCCATGGATCTAATGCTGACTTTTAACTACTGTATGATCATTTGTATGATGTTCATTGTAAAAGACATATAAAACAGTGCATGTTTTTATTTACAATTAATTATATATTGTGTTGAATGTTTATCATATAACCTTGTTGTCATAACTACAGATATAAATGGGGGAAAGTCAACGGTCATAGAGAGTACACTGAAAAGGAAGCAAGGAGTGTGCTTTGCTACATAAATTTCAATATCTTGTGAGCGCCCCGTCAAAATGGCAACAAGGTATCGTTTGTTGTGTCTTCTGATGTTTTAGTGATAGTGATTGTATTTATGAATTTGTATATAGCTACATTTATTGATTTGTATATATTTTGTGTTCACGGAACAGCTCTTAAGCTGTTGATGTTGGCAAGGACGTTGGAACAATATATTAAAAGAGCTGAAAACTAATGATGCCTCATCAATACTTGTAAAGCAAAAAACCATGAATTGACCGGGGATCACTACATAGTTAAAAGCCGGCGTTAGATCCATGGGTTTGCCGCCACTATGACAGCTACTGAAACCATCGAAACGTAAACATACAGTTCCACCTGAAGATAAAAACCGGCTTCCGTTGTGTGAAGTTGGGAGAAAGGTGGATAGAGAAATACCAAGACAGAACAAATGGAACCCTTCTGAATCAACGTCACTAATAAGCAAGTTTGTTACTTACGTGTAAATCTTCAGGTGTCACCATTACTGCTCTTCTACTGCTCCTATTCTTCTTCTTCTTCTTCTTCTTCTTCTTCTTCTTCTTCTTCTTCTTCTTCTTCTTCTTCTTCTTCTTTTTCTCCTTCTCCTTCTTCCTCCAATTTGCCGCCGCTACCACTGAGCTTCCTGTCTATGACGGAAACTGTCATCAGCAGAAAACCAAAAAGGCACCCATGTGGGGGGCTGGAAAATGACCAATCATAAGAGGGCCGGGGTCAGCCTTGGTCTCCCCCCCCCAGAGTGTCAAAAGTCCTTGGTTTGAGCGAGCAGAGCTCCACCGCGAGCGAGCACAGGGGAAAGAGAGAGCGAGAGCAGGAGCGAGCCAGCACGCGCATAACAGCTGCACAGTGTTGTTGTGCATGTCGCTGCTGTTTTTTACTCGCTCACACCTGCCTCTGCTTCACTGTTGCTAAATATGTGCGCGAAGATCAAACAAGTGCGCATGGCAGTTAAAATCTGCGCGCGTGACACGAAATAATTTACGCGCGAGAGAGATTTGCGCGTGTGCAGATGTGTTATCTGCTCGCGCGACACATGACACAAATGTAACGCCATACATCAGTAACACAACATGTTTTCTGTTACAGAATAAACCTTCAAATCAGACAAATCAAACTAATCTATGAAATTCAACAAAAATGAATAGTTTATCTAAAACGTCATATTGGTGAGTCGACATCTAAACAAATCAGCTGTTAGAACAGGCCAGACAATATATAGCACCTGTAGGCCTTTGTTCTCCCTCTTCCTGCCTCATGCCCTGTCTCTGCTTTGGCTGCTTCTGTTTGTTTGCACCGGGTGCCAGTTGACTTCCCTCCTGCCCTCCTGTATTCATTAGAGCCCACATTTGAGGTGGTCCTCCTGCCCTTTGATCACTGCTGCTTTGCCCATTTCTTTGCCCTTTTTTTGCTCACCTTTAGTTCAGTTTTTGCCCATATCATTTCATTATTTGTTTTGTTTATTATTTTAGTTGTTTTGCCCGCAATTATTAATTTGATCCTCAGTTACTTATTAATTATTGTTGAACTATTGATTTGTGATTTAGTTTTTCCCAGTTTTGCCTATCATTTTGTCAGAGTTGTCCCTATTGAGTTTCCACAGTTCAGGTTTGAATTATTTACTATTTGTGTAGCCAAATGGACCTGCAATGGACCTGCATTTGTATAGTGCCTTTCTAGTCATCTAGTGACCACTCAAAGCGCTTTTTACACTACGAGTCATGTTCACCCATTCACACACACATTCATACACTGGTGGCTGAGGCTACCATACAAGGTGCCACCTGCTATTCAGTTTTAACACACTCACACACCGATGGAACAGCCATCGGGATCAATTTGGGGTTCAGTATCTTGCTCAAGGATACTTCGACATGCAGCCTGGAGGAGGGATACATTTTTGTTTTTATTTTCTGTGAGTTTTCCTTATTTCAGGAGTGGAGAGCCAGATTGCTGAGAGGCTAGGTACCTGTGGTGAGGTCCCTTCACTTTTGCATGTGAGTAGTTGCACTGGGACACCGTAGACTGCACTATTTTTTTGAGGATTACTGTGTTGTTTGCTGTGCCCACTTGTGGTGGGTAGTGGTAGCACCCCTTGGCACTCCTCTGTGTAGTCTGCCTCTCGACAAGTGGCCTCTGCTCAGTTTACTATTTTTTTTAAATTTTGCTTATGTTGGACTCAGTTTTAACTTTTCTATAATTTATCATTATTTTTTAATATAAATTGTAATAAAGTAATTTTATCCACCGTCATTTTTGGGTTATTTCTTGTTTATTGATAATCTTCCTCTTCCTTTTCAGCAGCTCCAGCCCCTGCTTTTTGCTTTGATCATTTTGCTTGTTATAAATAAAATTTCTGCTTTAATTGTGACAACACGTCTCAGCCTCTTAATCAGAAATGAACCTGTGTGCCTTAGCAACTACCTTTTTATAAACGATTTTCAAGGTACCTTAAAGTATTTCCTGGGGTGAAACTCCCCAGGTGGCATTGTCTGGCTTATTCCTTATTCTTCCCTTATTGATACCAACCCACTAAAATTTACCTCCCCCCTCACCACATTGTGAATGGTTGATCAGGTGTATTTACTTCATCTTCAGTAAGTTGTAGTAAATCAGTATTGCTTAGGAATGTGTCAATATTGTCGTCTTTTGATTTGTGTATTGATGAGCATAGATTTGTAAAAAAAATCTAAGGAGGTCTGATCCTATAGTGAGTGCCACCACAGGCAGTAGGAGAGGAGCAGGGACATGATTTTTTACAGACTGTCTCACGTACTTCTTTCAGAATATAGAGACTATTTCAGCAAATATGACACAAAGTTATTCTCGTAAAAGATACCAACTGTAGCCTTAACTTCTTCACTAAGTGATTCCAGTGCTTCCCTACTAATGCCGCGTGTAATGTTGCTAACCCATGTGGGTACAGTGTCTTGGGTAAGTACCATAACCTACCCTGTACAGGTACCCTAAACAACCTTTTTAAACATAAGTGTTTTTTGAAATGTTTTAATTGATTATGCACTGTGTGGTGATCACTCATCTCTTCACTAATTAGGTGCAGTGATTGAAGGTGGTTGCAGGTCTCAGAGCCAGGTGCCCTACTCTCCACCACTGCAGAACCTAAGTGCATGATAGGACACACCTGGCTTTCCACTTATATAAGAGCTGATTAGTTTAAATGCCTTGTATTTCTTTCATCCCATGTGTTTTGACTATTGATCCATGTTTTTAATTTCTTTATATCAGGATGTGAATTCAGTTTGGACATGTCCAGCAATCATGTCTGGAGTATTGCTGATTTATGGTCTGCATGGTGACTGGTGAGAAGTGTTTGGTCTGCTGTAGGCAAACTGATATGATGACATGCCATACAGGAAAATACTGGCCTACCGGTTTTATGTTAAACAACTGAGTAATATGGAATTTAAGATAAATGCTGTCATGATGCTTTTGTCTTTTCCTCCTGCTGCCGCTGTCTGCACTTGACTCTTTCCAGGCGAGGCCAGTCTGTCAGGCTGTGCAAGTGTGCAAGCAAATGTGAGAGTGCAGATAGCATTTTGACAGAAAAAAGAAACACTGTGAGCAGGTGTCCAAGCGTTTAAGAGCACAGAGGTCAGAAACTGACAGACATTAAATAAGTGAAACTGAGTCAGTACTGTGTAAATCTTGTGGATAAAAGCAAAAATGCAGATATGTTTATTGAGCACAGAATAGTTTTGTTTGCTCAAAGTTTTTGCATGCCAATATTTTCCCTAAAAATGTAATTTATGTACTCGGAGGAAAGTATTTTCCTGTGCGCAAAATACCCCATCATGCTCAGAACTGACACACAAATATAACTCCATACTTTTACCCAAACAACACATTACTGAAGTAATGAACTTTTATTGGGTATGACTATATTACTCTGAGACACACCATACATGACAGCATCTTATTAGAGGTCAAAGCCCTAAAGCACATGTTCTGTGTGGTTAGAGGGATGATAACAGAGACAGAAACAGCAGAGTGACCTTCCAGCTCCTTTTCACACCACTAGTCATTGTTTCATCATTGGTTTCCTTTAGAATTTAGTAAACAGACTGGTTTTTGGCCTAAATGTTTCCTTCTCTCTTTACCTTAACCTGGGCTTCATCCTCATGAATTAGGAGGTGAAAGAAAGGGACAGATTGCTGCCTGCTTATATGTCCAAAGCATGAAAGTACATCACTAAAGCCCAAGTTCTTGTAATGGACCTAAATATTTAAGTATGGCATTAAAATGTAGTAGACTTTATTCACTAAATTGTTTGTGTGTCTCTCTGTAATTACCTGACAGGTGGTGAGGAAGATCCAGTCATGTGGTCTACTCTTGTTTCTCCTCGTGTTGAGGAGGGAAGGGTATCAACAGGTATGTATGAGGATTAACTTGACAATATAATCCTTTCTATCACTACCTTCCATCTTGCATGGGTACCATAATTGACATTATGTCTTTTTATATCAGGACAGGCACAGGTGACCCCTTTTGTTTACATGGTACCTGCTGGTGAAAAGTGTCACCTGTCAGTGGAAGACAAGCAGCATAGTGTTTTTATTTGACACACCGGAGATGTACAGTATATGTCATACACCAGTGTGGAGGGGTATATGTCAGTGGAACACCAGGGACATTTTGAGAGTATAACAGTGTAGCATCCCAACACTCTATATTATGCCTCAGATGCTGTAACTAATTTTAGACTGGGGTGGGGTGTTTGATGGGTTTCCTGAGGTAACTACCAAGAGGGTATACCTGTTTTGGGTGAAACGTAAAAAACCCTCCTCCTAATCTAATAAACTGTCAAAATCAGCAGTTTAGATCGACACTGACCACTGTATACTACTGTGATTTAAATAAGTGAACCCAGACAAGTCTTTGGATGAAATGGAAGAACAGTTTACTGACTGTTTTTTTCTAGCATGTACAGATAATTACCATTTTAGTTAAAAGAAAAAAAACCCAACACAAGATAGATCCTTTAGGGTAAAAAATAGTCACCTTTTAAATATTAATAAACACAGTTCCCTTTCTAAAATAATTCATTCATACATTTTCCGTAACCGCTTATCCTGTTGGAGGTCGCTGGTGGGCTGGAGCCTATCCAGGCGGGGTACACCCTGAACAGGTTGCCAGCCGATAAAGACATTTCTCTCTCTCACTCTACAAGTGTAGAAAGTTTCTTTTTACCAGACAATGAGTTTTTAAGGAGATGTAGTTTACCTTGACATGTTTCGACTGTCACTTCAGTCTTCTTCAGAAGCGTTATCTGACGTGCGTCATGACGTGTCTTTATCAGCTGATAGTATCCCGGAGGCGTGACCAGCCTGGCAATCCTATTTGGCTCCTTAAAAACTCATTGTCTGGTAAAAAGAAACTTTCTACACTTAGTCTGGCAACCTGTTCAGGGTGTACCCCACCTGGATAGGCTTCAGCCCACCAGCAACCTCAAACAGGATAAGCGGCTGATAAAGACACGTCATGACGCACGTCAGATGACGCTTCTGAAGAAGACTGAAATGACAGTCAAAACATGTCAAGGTAAAGTACATCTCCTTAAAAACTCATTGTCTGGTAAAAAGAAACTTTCTACACTTAATCTATTTTGAGTAGACAAAATGAACCTAATTACACTATATAGGTTGCCAGACTATCACACGACTAGCACATAGAGACAGACAACCATTCACACTCACACCTACAGCCAATTTAGAGTCACCAATTAACCTAATATGCAAGTCTTTGGACTGTGGGAGGAAGTCGGAGTACCCGGAGAAAACCCGTGCTGATGCAACAGGGAGAACATGCAAATTCCACACAGAGGGGCTCTCCCACCCTGGGTTCCGAACCAGGAACCCTCTTGCTGTGAGGCGACAGTGCTAACCACTTTACCGCCATACCTACTATTAGTAAATCAATAAATTGCTTGACTCAAACCAAATATTACCACACAAAAGCTATCTAAAGAAAACCTCAGATTTCTCCAGCAAAATCGCTGCTTCTCAATTCTTTTCCCCCTCTTTTTTTACAGCAGCCTCAGGATGATACTAGATACTCTAAACCCCTTTGTGGTTCCACACACACACTTACTCACATGTGACAAAATGAAAAAAAAGTTGCTTGGGTGCAGTGCAGCCAATAGAAATGTTATCCTCAGCAGAGGAAGAGGACACAGAAGGTCCCACCCACAGTTCAGCATCAGTCCAGGCGAAACAGTGGGTGGTCCCAGAGATGAAACCAGAGGCCTGTACTACGAAGCCAGTTTAATTTACCCAGGATATCTTCTCGTTATCTGGTCTGACTAACCCTAACACTAGCCGTCTGGTTGATAACCACCTTTGTAGTACTGGTTGTCCAGAGGCCTGTACTACAAAGCCAGTTCAACTTACCTAGGGTATCTTTTCGTTATCTGGTTTGACTAACCCTAACACTGGTCGTCTGGATAACCAGTGCCACAAAGCTGGTTATCAACCAAAGGCCTGTATTACGAAGCAGGATTTGAAGTTAACGAGGTAACTATGGGGTTAACTCTGGATTTACAGTACTACAAAGCTGGTTCTCTTTTTACTGGGATAAATCACTGTGGTAACTAGCTAACTACAGCGGATATTGAAGATATTGATGTGGATGAAGACACTTCTCACGTACACAAATAAATTGCCAACATGCCAAAAAAAAGCCTGAACCCACCAAAAAAGAAAACACAGTTATAAAAAGGAGGATAAAAGCACTGGCCTGGAAATTCTCCACACAATGCAAGCACTAATCAGAAAGTACTGAATGAATAGAGTGAACTTTTAAAATTTTTTGAAAAACGCACAGATGCCTAAACAAGGATTGACATCCGAGGAGAGGACCCCAAATATGTTTTTTGGGCTCTTTTGTTCTGAACAGGTATGCTGTTGTAGTCAAGTTTTGTTCAGAGGTTTTGAGGATTATTGCACTAAACATGTACAGTGAGGAGGCCAGTCGGCAGGCTGACTTGACAGGTGGAGCAGATCTGGAGGCCAGCCAGGAGGCTGACATGACAGGAGGAGCAGACTTGGAGGCCGGCCGGGAGGCCGACGTGACAGGCGGAGCAGACCTGGAGGCCAGCCAGGAGGCCGACATGACAGGTGGAGCAGGTCTGGAGGCCGCCTTAACAGGCGGAGCAGGTCTGGAGGCCGGCTGGGAGGCCGCCTTGACAGGCAAAGCAGGCCTGGAGGCCGACATGACAGGCGGAACAGGTCTGGAGGCCGGCTGACCCTGCTGTGGCCCAGCAGGGTCAGTAGGGAGCAGAAGCAGCTCAGAAACCTGGGTCAGTCCCAGCACAGCACAAACAGGAACTTGGGAGCACTGTAGCTCAGCATGGATAGGTACTTGGGAGTGCTGCAGCTCAGCATGAACAGGAACTTGGGAGTGCTGCAGCTCTGCACTGACAGAATCTTGGGAGCACTGTAGATCAGCATGGACAGGAACTTGAGATGTGCTGTAGCGTCTCAGGAACTGGAACTTGGGAGAGCTGCAACTCGACACAAACAGGGGCTCAAGAGCACTGTACTGACACAGGAACAGGAGCTTGAGAGTGCTGCAGCTTAGCACGGACAGGGAATTGGGAGTGCTGCAGCTCGGCAGGAGCAGAGACTTGAGAGGGCTGCAGCTCGGCAGGAACAGGGACTTGAGAGGGACGCAGCTCGGCAGGAACAGGGACTTGAGAGCGCCGCAGCTTGGCAGGAACAGGGACTTGAGAGGGCCGCAGCTCGGCAGGAACAGGGACTTGAGAGGGCCGCAGCTCGGCAGGAACAGGGACTTGAGAGCACTGCAGCTCCGCAGGAACAGGGACTTGAGAGCGCAGGAACTCTGGGTGCAGGAGTCGGCCGGACCGCTGACTGGACTGTGGGTGCAGGAGTCCACACAGTTCATCGAGGTAGTCTGCTGTTTCTGTCAAGTAGCTGTCTGTTAGTCACTCACTCTACAGCAGCAAACAGCACTTCAAAATAAAAACCTCTGTGCTTCACTGCACTGAAAAATGAAGTGGGGTTTTTTTTTTACAAACTTTTTTTTACAAACGTTTGTGAGTCACCTGTGGTCCATTCAGAACAGACGGACAGACCAGTGACCCACTTTTGGACTGTGACCCACCAGTTGGGAACCACTGCTACAGGACCTTAGACAGATATCATTTGAATTGCTCTTATAGAGAATATAGTAAGATTTGTAGAGTGATCCCTTTACCATTGATTCAGTCAATCCAAACATCTTAATCATTCAAATGCTATATCAAGCTTGCCATATTTAGTGATTACCTGAATGATAACAAGTGTAATAACAAATATATATGTGCCGTTCTGAAGTCTGAAGTGATTATAATAGAGGTTTGTTTATTCAAGTGCCTGGTGGGGAAACTTTTTCTGTTGCGAATAAAGCACACTCTAAATGTCTTAAATGGCCTATTTCCCTAAGGTCTAAGAAACCCATTTTAAAAGAATTGATAAGATTAACCAGGTTGCAAATTATTTCTTCAAAAAAAAAAGGTGGAAACTTTTAGTGGACCCTTGAACCTTTTGTAATGTGACAGACCAAACATTGGAACATGTTTTCCAGCTGGTCTGATTGTCTGCCTCGCCCCTGATTGTTTCCACCTGTGCCCTTACCTCGTGTGTATATATTGTCTGCCTCTCCCTTTGTCCTGTGCCAGTTCGTCTTGTCCTTCGTGTCAGTGAACCAGCGTTGTATCCATGCCATTTGCCATTGTCAGGTCTTGTTATTTTCATACTTTGTTCATGTTTGATTTCTGTTTGTTTTTTCCTAGTCATAGTACAGCCTCAGTAGAGTGATTTTCTGTTTGTTTTTTCCTAGTCTTAGTACAGCCTCAGTAGAGTGATTTTCTGTTTGTCTTTTCTTTGTCTAGCTTTTATTAGTGAGTTTTATTTTCTTAAGATATAGCGTTTATTTTGTAGATCATTTTTGTTCTTAGATTAAGTATAGGTTTTCCTCTGTCTAGAGTGATTTTCATTTGGTGTTATTTAATAAATCATTTTGATTTGTACTTTGAGTCTCGAGTCGTGCATTTGGGTTCAGGTCCTTGTTCGGCCGTGACAGATATCACTTAATAGATTCTCAAACTATGGTAGTATGCGAAGTCATAAATATATTTTTTTAAATTAAATTCATTTGAAAACATATAATATCATCAAATACTACAAAACTTAAATGAAAATACATTAAACATAATAATTTCACATTTAATATAAGTTTTGTATTTCCTTTATTTTTGTCTCTGCTATTTAGTGTGCCCGGATATAGGTAAAAATGTAGAGACTGAAGATGAGTGGTTCAAGAACACTACAATCGTGGCTCCAAACTGGAACTATCATGAAAAGGACTGCTGTTCAGGAGGAGAATATTTGGAGCAGCTGTGTTGAAAATGAAGTGGAGGACGACAGTGAACCGAGCACAAATGCTAGCGGCTACTCAAGAGCCCCCGGTGAAATGTCCACAGCACCCAGGTGGAGCAAAGATGTAAGGAAATATGA